GAGAAATAAAGCCATAATAGTGTCAGCATTATTATCAGAATGAAAATCTGCTGAGTTCCCTAAAACTTAATATGCATTACCATTTTTTCACTTTAATTAAAATATAGTGTTTCTACGCTATTTGAAACTCTCTCCCTAATTATAATGAAAACATTAATGGATTGTTACATGAATAACCAAAAGCACTTTCCTGAAGTCTACTCAGCATCATCTCCTTTAAACATTCAATAGAGCATACGGATGATGGTCTGTGGGGAGACCCTGGAGAGCCCGGAATCTTGGACACATTTAAATGGATGAGAACCTTATATTTTTCTGGAGAGTTAGTCAATTATCCTCATATTTAACCCTCTAATCCCTAATCTTGCAGATAAGGAGTTGGCTATATTCCTGGTGTGGACCTGGGGAAGAAAGATTTATTTGATGCAAACCCTGAGAAAGAATTACCTGCTAAGAGAGACTCCCCAGGATCAACCAAAGGCTCAAATTTTATGAGTAATAGTCTCGCAGCTATTCGCTGGCAGGGACTAGTCAAGTATTCCACAGACCAAGAAAAACCTCAGGCTGAACTCTCGGCTTCCCGCAGCTTGTTTATGCTACCCGAGTCAGCAACTGCGGGCAAACCACGGTTTCATCTTTCTACCAACAGACTGAGACCTGCCCCATCCAATCACAATGGCAAATTTGTATTCCTAGGTTAATCTATACTGACCAATCAGAACGGCACAATTTGGATACCTCATTTACATAAAATGGACATAACTGGAAACTTGGGTGGGAACTTTTACTATAAAAGGCATCCTCCCCTTTGTCTGAGGTGGGGAACACTCTTTTGGTTGCTACCTGAACTTGTGTTCTCAGGCTGTATCTCCTTTGGCTCAAATAAATGTTTTTATTATTTATTACAGGCTAAAATCAATTTTGGTTTATACTGGAAATGCTGAAATATTATGAAATGGGCCCAGAAAATTTGGCCTAACCTGAAGATCACTACCACTATCTTAAGAAATACCCACTATAGGCTAGACAGCATTACCAGCGGTTCATGGGTGTTGGTCCATTTAATTCCCATAACAACGTTTTGAAGTATTTTTGCACCCAAAAAGTAGATAAGTCTGAAGCTAATAGGCATTAACTAACTTTCCAGAGAGCTCACAACTTGGACATAGCAGGAATTGATTTGCAACGCTGGTACTCTGATTTGTGCCTCCAGAGTCTGCAGTGATCTCTTCTAAACTTTTGGAGGGCCATTTGAATGGAGCAGTTCCTAGATTACATTATCACCATTTTTTCCTGGAATTACTCTATTAACACCTATTAGTTCCTTTCAAGAGACTAAGAGGCCACGTTGGCCCAATGGTTAAAAAATTATTTCATACAATCTTAACACTCCTGAGATGCATCTATATATCTTTTATGACCCAAGTGACAAGGTTGAAAATAACTCAGTTTAATCAAACAACAAAATAAGATTGACTTCTTTTTCCCTCCTCCATCATATTGGTATGTTCTTTAATTCTATTTATTCAATAAATATATATGGGCTTTTACTAGTAAAAACTAGTGAAAATGTGTCCTAATTATGATGAAAGAATATTTGCTGCTCAAACTATAATAAAAGTGAATAAATTACAAAAACTATTTTTCATAGTCAAAACTTGTGGTTTCTTCTTTTTTTAAAATCAGAAATGACAGATCTCTGTGCCCTTTAATTAGCAAGTGCTAAATTCTTAGTTGGCACTTTATTTACCTTCACTAAAGGGCTGATTGATATGAAATAACATGCAACAGTGACTAAACCAAAGAAACCAAATTTTATCCCTAACATGCAACCCACAGAGAACACCTGGTAGCAAAGCAGGAGATATACTTACAACCACTCCTCTTTTTTCTAGCTCTTGAAATACATATTTTATTGGAACAGAGAATGTCAGTGTTAGCTGGCAGCCACGTTCCTCTATACGGGATGGAGTAATTATGTTCACAGCAATCTTGTTTCCTGGTTTATCTTTGCCATAGTAATGCTTGATCAGGTATTCCAGATAACCAGTTAGCAAAATAGATTTTCTTCTCAATGCTTTCATGGTTGCTTTCTTAAAGATCTGCAGAATGAGAAACAGTCAGGTTAATAATGTCTTGTGGATTTACAAAGAAGCAAAAATTAACTGAAAATCATACATAAAAAAGGGAATGACCATTTTTAATCTCTCCAAAAATCACCCCTTTTTAAATAGTCTTTTTGTAAAAACATGCCCTCTTTTAAATCCTTTGCCATTAAAAACTGAATGCAAAGTTTCCATATCAGAAAAACTACAAAAATGTCAAACGATACTCGCAAAAGTAAAAGTAACGGCAATATAATGTTCTTTCAGAGGTATTTTAAATTAGCTTAGTATAATTCATATAAGTATCCCTTAATAAAGGCATGGAAATATCATAAAATTCAAACATTTTCTCCAAAACCATCTTTTACCATCATAATCAAGATGTTTTTCTTTTCCATTCTGATAAAAAAGTTTGTTTGGTCCACAGAACAATACAATAAGAGCTAATGTGCATGGTATGTGAAAGATAGTGTTACAAATATTTACAATTGTTTTACCGATTCCTAAATCTCCTCCAATTTAACAGTAAGAAAGCTAGCAAGTTTTATCAGAGAAGCAAAAATGTTAGATAATACATTTATTTGTATTAAAACATTGGGTTTTCTTTTTTCCTTTCTTTCTCACCCTCCCCTATTTTTCTTCTTTCATCATTTTTTTTCCTGTTACACTCTAGCACTGGTCTGAAAATACTGCAATTTCCTGCCTGAGGTGTCTTATATTAAGATGAGTGACAAGGGCACACAATAACTGGTGTTGGAACATTAGAGGTCAGAACACACATGATTTTCTAGCTTATCTCTTAAGGTCAAGTAGAGTTTAAAAATACACCCTCCATATAAGAGCTGAATAGGCTTCAGAGTGTGATGCACTGGCAGGTCACCTACTGTCCCTCTACTGTATCGTGTTATGCCACAGAGCAAATATGGTCATTTGGTGGCATCTAGACGTCATCAAGTCTATGGAAACACTTATTTCTGTGTGTATGTATATATGTGTGGGCAGGCATTCTAACCGGCCTCGAACTATTTAGACACACATTTTCTTGACTTTTATTGCATGGAGGCTACAGATTTGGCTGAAGGAGAAGAAGGAAGTTGTATTTTTATTTGTTTTTTTTCCTTCCAATCTTTTCTTTTTATTACAAACAATGATTAAAAAGACCTAATTTATACCAATCTGGACTTAATGTCCAAAACTTTCTCATCCAGAGCCACATATCCAATGGTTGCTTGACATTCGAATTGGATACATGAATAATAGGCATTTCAATCTAAATATCTTCAAAATAAGGGTTCCTGATCTTCCTCCCAAGGTCACCTTCTCCTCCAGCCTTCACCACCTTGGTGTCTGGCAGTGCCCTCCCCACCAGTTGCCCAGGTCAATCACTTTAGTGTCATCCTTGACTCCCTTATTTTCCAAACAACTCACACAAGTCCACCTGCAAAACCTGGTAGCTCTACCTTTAAAATATGTCTAGAATAAGACCACTTCTAACTACCTGCTTTACCATATTTCTGGGCCAAACCACTCATCTCTCAAACAGATAGAGTGGCATCTGTCTCCCAGCCCACCAGGTCTCAGGGACTATGCCTGCAGCCTGGGAGGAGGTCAGCTGCACGTGGGAGCTGGTGTCTTTGTTTCAGAAGGTATCTGAGATCCCAGGGAAAAGAACACAGCCATCTCCCCTTACGGTTTCAGTTGTCCTCCGTCAACCGAGGTCTGGAAATATTAAATACAAAGTTCCAGAAAGAAACAATTCATAAGTTTTAAATCGTGTGCCGTTCTGGGCAGGGTGATGAAAATCTGCACCCCTGCTCCATCTCGCCCAGGACGTGAAGCGCCGCCCTTTGCCCAGTGTCTCCCCGCCGTGTGCCCGGCCGCTTAGGCCCCGTGGTGGTTACCAGAGGAGCTGTCTAGTGCAGCAGTGCTTCTATTCGAGTCTTACTTACTTAACAATGGCCCCAAATGCCAAGAGTAGGATGCTGGCAATTTGAATATGCCAAAGAGAAGCTGTAAAGTTTGTCTTTTAAGTGAAAAGGTGAAAGTTCTCTGATTAATGAAAAAAGTCATATATTGAAGTTCCTCAACAGTGAATGACTTAAGTAAGGTATTTCTAAGAGGCTCCAGAGAAATACTTAGGTGATTAGAAGCTCCCAAGAAGTGTATATGCCTTTTCTCATGGCTCTTGGATCTCTTTGCTAGGTTTACCTTTAGATATTAAAGGAAGAGATAAATCAGTCTTCCAGTTCCAGCTAGGAATAAAAACGTGTCTAGGTGACTATACTACACTGGCAGGAAACTATTGGTAGTGAAAATAAGACTCTGACTCTTCCCATGGCAGAAAGGGTGAATACTGGAAGAGCCCATTGCAGAGAAAATATCGAAGTGGAGTGTCTAAAGAAAACTTCTAGATATGGCTGAGAAGTCACTTACAAAGTAAAAAAAAAAAAAAAAGAGGAAATGACTTTAAATACTAGTGTATTTAAATAGCGTAGCTCACCTTCTCCATGATATAAGCTGGCAAAGTAAGCAAAACATTTTGTTTTAAAATGTTTAACAGAAGTTTTTTCTCTGAATGTATATTATAAAAGCAATTCAGATATCATTATCTAATTTCTAAGCAGACTCCCCCAAAACTGTGTCACTGACTGAAAAACCTAGTTACTGGGTTTATTTCAATTTAAAAACAAAAAATTAAAAAGTGAGAACAGCACAAGTTCCACCTAGTGGTGAAACTGAGTACCTGCTCTTTAGATTGGGATGAAATGAAATGAGCTGATTACCAGGATCTGGTGGTGAAGTTGTATAAAAATAGAGGAAATTGACACTGCCGCCCAGTGGCCAAAATAAGAAACTGCTATAAGTGTTCACAGATTCCTAGAATTTTAGGTTTAGAAGATTTTAGGAGTATTTATCCAGTCACTCCACAATAAGATTTCCTAAAATATAAACTAAATTGTCTTAGAAGACTTTAAATTTTTTTTGAAAATAATCTTTTATTTGAATAGATATATATTTAAAATCTCCATTAGAAATATATATTTATACTTAAAGTATATTTTACTTTAATGGCATAGGACCCCCAGTTTTAACAAAAAGTTCCCTACCTCATGAAACAACCTTACCTAATCTTTGTTTTACTCTAACTATTCATATATATGTATATTTTATTTTTCCTCCTTAAAGTTAGTCTTCCTCTAGCTTTGTTACATGGCACTTGGTCAGTTTATTGATTCACAGAACAAGAGACAGAATCCCTCGTAATCACAGCATTGTCTGGCACACAGTTCTCTTTTCATAAATAAATGTCAAATGATTGACTTAACTGAGAATTAAGTATTGAGTGTTTATTTTGTATAGAGAGAGACCAATAGAAGATTAAATAACTCATTCAAGTTCACACAAATTCTAAGTGGAACTAAAAATACGTCTCCCCGGTGTGTTCCATTTAACATTTATTAAGTGCCAATAATGTGCCAAGCATTCTGCTAGGGGCTGGGGGTCTGCATAAAGGATAACAGTCCACCTACAGTCACTGTCCTAAGGAAGACCACATACCCTTCGCAAGTGTTCGTGCCCAGTGCATGTTTATAATCTTGCTGATCAAGCAGAGAAAGCACTGCAACATGGCACAGTCAGGTAAAGCAAAAGCTAAAGGTGTGGGAAGGCTGACGCATGCATCACTTACCTCTAAACTAGCGTGCAAGGAACAGACCAACAATATGGGAGGATTTGAAATTCGAAATCCATTGGCCCCAGGGATTAACTGCAATTCTGAAAGATTAATATCATGTCATTTTGATAGCTTGTATCTCAAAAAGTGTTCTTTATGGACTTTTTTCAATGACAGTAAAGTAGCAGGCAGAAAAAGAATATCATATAAAAGTTTTTATCCCTAAGATTTCTGAGATATTTAAGAGAAAATCTGTGGACCTAAAACACTGGCACATTTCCCCATCACCTGCGATGTCTGTCTCCCCTGCCCCCACCTTCTTAGCAGCCTACCGAACACTAGAGCCCTGAGACACAAGATAAAAATGCTCTCTTCTAGAAGCTTTTCTGGACCCAATTCTCTGACATTCCCAAGCCCGAATTCCTTGCTCTGCTCCATGCTTTGTTTTTCTATTATAAAACCATGTCAATGAGAGGAAATTACCAGGATTTAAATGGCTTGTAATCATAATGCTGCCCAAAGGCAAACATGTGAAATGAAATGACCTATGACGTGGACTTTTAGTGCTAGTCACCTAAGTGGATTCTCTTAGGGAAAAAAAGGGGGGGGGGTTAAAAAAATAATCTTCCTAAATATGATATATTATGAATTAATACCAGGTATTATTCTAATTAGAATACATTAGATTGAATAGTAGAAAGTTAAACCCAATAGAGTTAAGATTGCTAGCTAGAGACCAAATTAAAAATAAGACTGGCTAAAAAAACTTCAGAATATCCTGGGTATTTAGAGATTCATCTAATCCAGGATTAGGCAAACTATGTCCTGTGGGCTAAATGCGGCCCACCAGTTGTTTTTATAAATAAAGTCTTTTTTTTTTTTCACAGCTACACTCATTCATTTATATATGTCTACGACTACTTTAGCACTACCATAGAAGAGTCGAGTATTTCCCACAGAAACAACATAGACCAAAAAGCTTAAAATATCTCCTGTCTGGCCCTTCACAGGAAAACTGTCCCCTTATCTAATCCAATTCCCTCATTTACTGATAAGAAACCCAGCACAAAGAATTTAAATAACTGGACTAATAACTGACCTAATTATTTTAGCCACCAAGATAAAGTGCAGGTTTCCTGATTTGACTGAAAGGACCCATCTGGATGCTTTGCAACTTGGTTTTTGCAAATGTGAATTTGCTTAAAATACTCTGAGGTTTGGAAGCAATGTGAATGACCAAGTTTGTTTGGGTGGAACTCACAACATTTGGGCAGCTTTCTGTATTCCATGTGACCAAAGGACAGAGTCACTGAGGCAAAGAGGCAGGGCAGCCCCTGTGCCTGGTGCCCTTTCCTTTCTACCTCCTGAGGTTTAACTGCTGCTGTTTAGTAAAGTGACAAAAGCTAGAGGACAAAAATGTGGGAGAAAATGAGATAAAAATGAACATTTCTTCAATAACACTGTTGTTTACTACTGGGTTTGAACTTGTCTTACCCTCAGACCAAACCCTGAAATAGACATTATTGGCATTAAATATGTGAGAAGGGGGAAAAAAAAAAAAAGTAAGGTGATACAATTTGTGCAGCATCGCAAAATTGACACCAAAGTCCCTCTGGGTCTGACTCCAAGCTCTAAATCCCTCTTGTCCTTACTGCCTGATGTCTCGGGTACTGAGCAGCGATGAGATGTGAGCTCCTTCTGCTAGATTTCGCCTCCTCTTACTCCCTGCAAAGGGATAGGCTCAAAACCATGCTAAAGTCGTAGTCTAACACTCTGGAAATGTCACTTCTTATTTTAAAAATTCTCAGTGGCATTTTTAAAGTGTGCTCTCCATGAGGCATGTGCATTATTGCATATCATACAAAGATCGATGAAAATGAAAATAAAGTTAAAATAAAATGACTTGGGAAGTAAAATGGAGTACACTTACTGTTATCCATTTTAAATCTGGTGCTCAGTTCATGACCAAACCACCCCACTAACCTAAAATATAAATAACAGCGTTAGATATGTGGGTCTACAAAAATAACCACGATTAATATAGGAAGCTAGGGCCTACATATTGAAACCATCTGTGATATGAGTCATAAAATATTTAAGTATTTAAGTTCTATATGATATCCAAAATAATTAATACTTATAACCACATCAAGAATGTAGATAAAATCAGTTTATTCATATCACCAGTTATATTGTTTTTGTAAAAAGCTGCATTTAATGACCTTTTCCTCATTTAAAATAAAATAAAATGAACAAAAATGTTTAGTTTTTTTAAGTTTTAAAACAAAGATAAAACTCAAAAAGGAAAAGCAATTGAAACAATATTTTCCAAAATAAGACCCCTAAAGAGAAGTGGTATAAAAAACTGTATATAATAGTTGAAAATTTTTAAATAATTTTCTAAAGAAATTGGTCACTTTTGTTTTTTTTGTTTTTCATTCTTTGTTCTTTGTTAATCTTCACCCAAAGATATTTTTTCCATTGATTTTTAGACAGAGTGGAAGGGAGGGGGAGAGAGAGGAAAAAACATCGATGTGAGACAGACACATC